ACACTTGTGTTTCCCAAGAGAAATTAAAGAGGGATCCAGCAGCTGTTTCTTTCAAATGGAACGTTTCATGTAGGGTGGCAGGGGTGATACGTAGCACACTGGTCTGCCTGCAGGGAGCAGATGAGGTGGCTCGTGTGCTCTAGTGTAGGGTATGGATCATCAGATATTTCCGTTCAGTGGTGTTCAGTGAAACTGGCTGTGACCGCGGGCAAAGGAACACTGCTTTAGAATTAGTAAAATGCTCTATTTTCAAGTTAGTGAAATGCTAACCTCCTAGCAGTTTTATAGTGTTGCCAGCACTTACTGAAGTGATGAGCAGCGGTATGGCAACTGTGCGTTGTCTACGCTCTGTGCTGACAGCAAGTACAAGAAGAGAGTTCTGTTTTTTTTTGCGTAGAAAATGATGCAGACTGTTTTAAAACTCAGATTTTGGTCTATGCAAACATGGTTGCTTGCAGGTAACTTTTGATAAATATCATTTTCATTTAGCATTCATAAAGGCAAGAAAAAAATATTAGAAAAATGGTTCAAATACATTAAAGAGCATTCCCAGGCCCCAATTATGTGGGAACACAAGACAACAGAAATTTCACAGAAACATGAAAATCAAAGTGAAGGTAGTCTTCAGAGCACAGCAAAACATCTGAGATCCATTTTTTTTAATTATTTTTGTCCCCTCTTTTTGTTTTTTTTTTTAATAGTAGTGCCTGGGAATGCGGCACTGTGCTGCTGTCCTTCCACCCTTATGGTCATGTGCCGAGTTATGTAACTAGATTTGAAGTCAGCCTCCATTCCCGAGGGAAAGCTCCTTATGTCAGGAGCTGGGTGCATTTCTTGCTGGCTGCTGAGCTGTTGCTCGCTGCTGTCAGAGCGTTCGCGAGTTACGCTGAGGGACTTGGGTGAGAGCAATCTGCTCACCTTAATATCTATACTAAAATATTCCAGCATTGGTAAGAGATTACTTGTCTGTGTGGAAGAATCCAGAGAATTCAAATAAAACTCACAATCTGATTTTGCCTACGTAAATACAGAAATAGGATAAAATAGGAAGAAACTTAAAGTTGGTTGTCTTTCAGAGGTTTTGTTATATGTGCTTTGACTTAAGCTCTGAAGTCAAGTACATACCATTTGAAAAACTACACAGACTATGTACTATATTATCCAATAATAGCTGGAAAGAAGAGGTTCCCGTTCAAAACATAGTCTTCATTATCTCTGCTTTGGACCTGGGAGTTTTTTGATAGTAGATTATTTTAGTATTATTACTTTTCCAGATCTATTTTAAATATACATATGCAAGCTAGGCTGCTTTTGTTAAGGTGCACAGTAGTGATTCCATAGCTAATGGTATGATTCGTGTTTTGATATACAACCTCTCTGACCTGTGGGTTCTTTGGAATCTAATCACAGGTTGCCTTATTTTAAGTTTTATTTTGACTCAACTCTCGTTTGGTGTGAGTATTTTAGCCTTTTGCTGGGATGCTTACCCTTTCTTTCAAGGGGAAAGCTTTGAGGACATGCAGTTCAGAGTCAGAATTGTTACAACTGGAAAAGACCTTCAAGATCAAGTCCAACCGTAAATAACTTCAGCTTCGCACTGTATCAGGACTCAATAGTGAAGGGTTATGCCAGTCAAAGGTCACTTGGAATAATATAGAAAAATAAATTGGGGAAGAAATGGAAGGATGATTTGTGTAAAAATACTTTTCTATAGGCCAGCAGAATTTTTTATTTAAAAAAAAAAGGGCAAGATGTTTTGAAGAATTGTTTTGTGTTCTGAAATGGATACAGGGGTGGGAGAAGCCAGAAGGTGTGTCCTGGGAGAGGTCAGGACCTGCCTAAGCTGCCCTTATCTCTTAAGATGACATGCAGGAGAGCAGGACTCAGCACTCCTGCGTCGCTGGAGATGTGAGAAGGAATGTCTCATCAGTGTTCCTTTTTGGCTTGAATTGTACAAAATGTGCATTAGTAGGTGAAAACAACTTCTTAGCATTAAGCCCTCTTTCCCCTTTGGCAGCCCCATTCCTAATGTGCTCAGCTGTTCTTGCCTCTGCTCCTTGCCCTTCCCTCAAGGCCTTGCAGCCGCCAGCAGCTTTGGTGCTGCCTTTGCCCAGTTGCTTCTGCTGTGCCTTGCTCATCTTAATCCCTTAGGTGGGCTGGAGCTCTTCCTGTGGTGTACAACAGCGTTCCCCATGCAGGAACAGTGTCTGCCCCGTGCTGCTGAGCTCCTCCTCTGGTGGCCTTTGCATTTGTCAGTGTGCTTCCTTCCTGCCTAGGGCCTCAAGTCCGGCACGGCTCTCCTGTGGCCCCTCTCACCTTGCCAGGTGACTCTGTGGGTCACATCACATATTTCATTCCCAGCAGAACACTTCTGCTCAAAGGGTTGATTTGTATAAAACTGTCAGTGTGATGAAGGCATGCTGGTTTCTCTTTCCCAAGCTGCTTTGTCTGCCGTTCTTGATTTAATATGGGTGAGCAACAAACCTGAACTAAATTGTGCATCGTGATTTTAGTGTTCTTATTTTTTCCCTGTGTGAAATCAGAGATTCCTGAGAGCAGATTTGCCAAGCTTAAGCGAGCTTTGTTGCTCCCAGTTTGGAAATACAATACTTTCTCCCGTGTTATTTAAAGCCCTCCCTTAGAAAGCAGGTCTTCCAGGTAGGTCATTAGATAGAGAAGCCTGTATATTGCTGTAGTGAAATGCAGATTCTAGGTTAATCTGAGATGATTCCCGCTCTAGCGAAGCTGGTGACACAGCAGCTGGTGGCTGCCAGGGTTTGTAGAACCGCACCGCAGTGTCCCGGGGCTTGTCTGTCTGCAGCTGCAGCTCCATCTCCTCTGCGTTCCCCAGCGTGAGCCCATCTCTTGTTCCTTGCAGAGACACATGCCTATGTCCTGCGAGGAATCTGCTCTGCCAGTTAGAGAGCTGCTCGCCTAAACCCTGGGCTGGGAAACCATTGCAGGTTTACTGTGAGGGTTGATCCTATGGAGCATCTTCATTGATAAAACCTTGCTGCGCATTTCCATAGCTGTCTGGTCTAGGCAAAATTCCTGTAAATATATTAATCTGTACTGCTGATAGTCTGCCCATCTGAAGGATCATTGCTTAGTTGAAAGTCATGAAACTTAAGTGTTTTTACTCTGTACTTAAACCTGCATTTGTAAAAGAATAATTTATGTATTAAGAAAAACAGTAAGTCAACAGTGTAGTGCAATTGTAAAGTGTATGGTCCAGCTTGAAAATAAAATTCATTGGCAGTACTTTCTGGTAGATTTTTTTTTTTTTTTACAAGCTCGATGAAAGCTCTTGGGTTGTCCAATTTTTATTACCATTTTGTAGCATATAAATCATGGTGAATTAGTAAGGGCTGGCATTTCTCCCAAGGAAGTATTAGCCTCCTTGACATATTTTTCCAAATTGCTTAAAAGCTTTTAGCCAGCACAGCTGAAGAACAACTGCTAGGAATTTGAATATGTACTTACAAATCCATAATTGGCCAACAGAAGTACTTAAGTATTATTTCCAGGAACTGAATGTGTCTTGGACTCTGGCGGTATTCTTAGCTTGAGAAACAGATAACACACAATATTCCCAGAGGCAATGTGTCTGGTATTGCTTTTCCTTACTAGTGCTTTTTAGTGTGGTGAGTGCTTTACTCTTCATATTTTTGTGTCTAATTTTATTAGTGTAGTGGGCTCTAGGACTTTCAGGGCACCTTCTGAAATGATGACAACAGAACATTCGAGCTTCAAAATGATCCAGCAGTTTTAGTTCAGTTTGGGGGTGTTCTGTTGCAGCAAAGTGTTGTAAAAGATTAAATAGGTGAGGCTGAGGGTTACCATTATTGTCAAATATTGCATCTGTGTATGAAATATCTCCTGATCTTACTCCCTGAATAAATACACAGGATTGTGTTTCAGTGGGTGTTTGTGCAACTCCATTGGGTGGCTGAGAGGGGAGTTGGTTTTTCTTGGTCCAAAGCAGAATTTGTACACTAGCTACAGTCACAAAAATATCGTAGTCTGTTATTTTTATCCTCTTGCATTAGTTGAATTAAGGAAAGTATGACCTATTATTAACATATATGGTAATTTTCTCCCTCTCTCTCTCTCTCATGCAAGCAATTTACAATTAATGTTTTGGTAATTTTTGCTAATTTGCATCTTGCCCAATTTTGTCAGACTTGTTTTGCACCAAAAGTCATGCTATCACATACAGGAGTGTTCTACTCCTGACGGTTTCTTTAATCTTTTAGGTAGTTGTTCTTACAGGTTAAGTTTCATATCTTGCATAACATTCAGAAAAGATTTAGAAATTTCTGTTGGTACCATAGACATGAAAAATAGCATTTTATGTGAATACTTGCTTTAAAAACTGATAGTTGTAGATACTTGACAGCCTAATGTGTCTTTGAAATTGTTAGTGGTATCCTTAAACTGACTGTGACAAGTGATAACTGGGAAATCAATTAAAAATGAAAACTAAAAAAATGATCATTATGGTAATTTCAGTTATTTCCCATTTGGTACCTTAAAATGCATAGTACGTACTACATGATTTTAAATTTTTACGTATAATAGGGTTTAAATTTAGCATAAATCTAATGACATTTGTGGAGAAAAAGTTTGAGGCATTGATCTAATTGAATTATTTTCACCCCTAATTCTTTTACACACAAATGAAAATAACAAAGGGAAATAATATATTCTTATGCCAAAAATGATTTTTTTTTCTGAAACAGCACAATCAAAGCGTAATGATCTAAATTTAATGTTTGCAATAATTTGATTAATCCTGTAAAAGAAATATTAACTTCTGGCTTGTTGCTAAAAAATAGTTTCATAATTACATTTTTTTTTTCAAAATTGCTCTGTAAAACTCTTTCTTATTTTTTAATGCTGGTATCTGCTTATTTCAGAATTAATACTTGCTGCAACCAGAGATTAAAATGGTATAACTAGAGCTTTAAATAATTTGGCTTTGGCAGCCCCATCGTTTTCTGGGAACGTGGACTCTGCTTCTGTACCCTCCTAGACTATAATGCCATCCTTGCCTAATGAGGGAGGTAAGTTATGCATTTTTAATATATGCTGTTAATTATTTCAGTATACTTGTATCTCTAAGTCAAAATTAATTAAATGTTTGTAACAGATTAACTCTGTTTGTAACAGATTAAATTTTTTGAGGTGTAATCCAGTTGATTGTTATAACATTATATTTCAAAGATAACCATGGAACCACTCGTCTGACTTTGAGTTCGGAACTGCCTTATCAAGGCACGATTAAAAGAAAAGCCAAGAAGAAGAAGCATGGAGTCATCACTGCAAATGTTGCTGGCACAAAATATGAAATTGGTAGGAAACTACATATTTTGTTTTCATTGTAATAGTCCTTGATGTGAATGAATTACTAACTAATGGGGTGAGTTAATGGACTGCAACAAGCTGACAGTGAGTCACTTCCAGAGAGTCACTTCTCTAAGAAGCCCTTGTTCTTTTTTTTAACATGTAGTGGATACTTTTGAACACTGCATCTATTACTCTTCATTCATTACTCAGGAAAAGGCCTTGAAATGCAAAAATTCAATTAATTGAAGAAGCTGAAAAAAAAATGATTTGCGTATGTGTTAAAAGATGAGAAGTGTGAATTTGATATTAAATATGGGGATCCTTTATATAGAGATTTTGTGATTAAAATCTACTCGTCTTTTAAATTTTGACACTTGCAGCGACTGTCATTCTACATTTGTAGTTTGTCTTTCTCTTGTAGAAAAGAAAGTATGCAAAAGTAGAATAGGGTAATTTGGCTTCAGCACTTCAAATAACAGGTTTGTAGGACCAACATTATAATTCAGGCTTTTGGTGGAATGTGAGAAGAGTCTGGGAGGTGGGTGCTGACTCTTGGTTAAGAGTAAACAATGACACTAAATATGCTTCTATTCAGCCTATAATTTGCATGATCAGTTTGTTCTGATAGCACTCAAAAAAAAAAAAAGTCACACTGAACCTAAAACAATCCCAAACCAACCCAACAAAAAGACAAAACTCTTTTTCTAGCCGGGGAAAAAAAAAAATCCAGAAATACATCCTTTTAGGGGATTGTAGTATTAGAACAAATTCCTTAGTGAGACAGCAGAATGGATAGTTTAACATAGAAAGTTATGTATTTGTTTTGTGAGTTCTTCTCCTAGAACTTGGGTAATGCCACAACTTTTTCCAAACTTTTCTTTTTTTTTTTCATGTTCTCTTCCTTTGCTCTTTCAACTACTGTACCTTGATTTGTGAAGCTGTTTTTCCTATCTGCAGTGACAATTATATTGATCACCATTTTAAATTTAACATATATGATTGCTAAGATAAAATCTTAAAGCCACTGAAGTGCAAGTGAGCTTTGACTAAATCATTGTGTGGAATGCCTTGAAGCTCTTCACAGTTCCCATTGCTTTGTGCTGTGCTTCCGAGCTCATACAGGGTCCTATAGTGACAGATCCTCAAAAGACTGAGGAAGTGCTACAACTTAAACAATAACCTGTGTTCCAATAATATTCTGTGGTGAAGGGTGGAATATTGAAAAAGCTCAAAATCTTATTTTTTTTTTAAATCTTGAATATATCTTTTAGATATTCAGGATATTTCTAAATGATGCCATTTCTTTGTAGTGCGTGTAGTAATACGAGAAATGGGGTTTGTGAAAACACGCGATGAAGATGAAACAGCAAATCTTATTTGGAGTGATTGTGCTGTGCAACAAGACAAGATTGCTGAGCTTCGAAACTACCAGGTAGAGTAGAAGATAGTGTTTCTGAAGGGCCAATAAACTGTTTCATGCTGGAACATTGCTTAATATGTCACACTTGGTCAGTTAACATCTGTATGGAGAGAAAACACAAACCAAAAATAACCAAACTGCAACAAAACCAACAACATATTCTTAATCCTATTTTCTTTTCCAGAGTTATTTGTTCACACCATTTGGAATCTGGTGTTTAAATATTTGGGGCTGTTCTCATGATTTTGTCTGCCAGTGGGTGTTATGAATGATGAAAGAGTTTGAAAGAAGATGCAAAACATCATTTATAAGTTGCTCATAAGCTTTTAAGCAGTAAGTTAAGCAGAGCCTCTCTCCCTAGTTTTTGTGAATAAATAAATCTTTTTTTTTTTACCATTACATTGTGACAACATTCTGTGTTCCTTGATAACTTTGAATAAAAGAATGATAGATCCTGCTTTTATATGAAGTGAAATCATGTGAAATGGGGATACTCAAGTATGTGAAAAGTGAAATGGGAATACTCAAGTGAAAATCTATTAGAGAAGAATGTAATTTATAGCACCTTGAGTAGTGTTAGGAATATCCAGATTAATGTAAGATATTCTCTGGGATGATTTATATTTAGTATTAACTATGTTTCCGTGAATATGTAGTTGAATGTTTTAAATGATTGCTTGTAATTATGACAGGAAAACTAAAAAAATTCAACTTCCTTTCATTTTTTTTTCTCTCCTACCTCAGAGAATCAACCATTTTCCAGGAATGGGAGAGATCTGCAGAAAGGATTTTCTGGCAAGAAACATGACTAAGTAATCTTTTTCTTCTAATATTAAGAAGTTTTTCAGCCATGTTATTATGCAATACTATACTAATTTACCACTTGTGAAGTCAGTTTATTTTTAGTGACAGGCTATAATAGATCCAGGGATACTTTCCAGTGTTCCTTAATAGCCTTGGCTTTGATCCTGGCTCTGTAGCATCTGAGTGGACTATTGTATCTTTTCCATTGACTCCAGTGGAAAATACTTTGAGTTCAGTTCTCTTGCTACATGCTGCAAAATGAGGGGTAGGGAATTTAATTATTAGTTACTGTAATGGGTAATGGTAGAATAGGAGGAACGACTAATTCATTTAAAGTAATTACTATATTTTTGTATTTATCAGTGCAAAAATGTGAACTGTCTTAGTGTGTATAGGAAAGTCAGAGAGACTCGTTTGTCTCAATGAATTCTTTGACTGTCGTGAAATAACTGGGCTCAGAGGAATTATGTTAGCTAAGAATCTGTGAATAAGACCTATAAGCAAACAATGCTAAATAATGATTCATCTGCTTGGTAATAAGTAAGAGTTTAGGGAGACATAGGTGTGGATATTTTGATTCTTCTAGCCTAGGTTACTTCAAACACCAATTAAACATAACTTAATGTTTTGGACCCAAATCTTACCTATACTGCACCATTACCAAAACAGAATTGGATTTTATGTATTTCTGTAATTCGTGTGGTATCTTCTCTCACTTGTTCTCCCTTTTCTGTTTTGTGAATGCTGAAATAGTATGCAAAAATAATATTCTCATGCAAATATTGGCATTGCTATTGGCTTGTGTTCTACTTGTGGTCCAAAACCCCACTGCATCAATGAATGCTATGTAGGCATTTCTCACTGCCCCCTCCAGACCAAAACTCTAAGTAAAAACATAGAGGTGAGATAATGCACAGACCCAAATAGCTAATGGCACAATTTTGGTCGGGATGGTAAGCAGTGGTATCATTGTATATGTAATTCTGTAATGTGTGTGCTTAAAAGGCAAAAAGCTATGTTATCACACTCACATTATTTTGAAATGGAGCCTGATGTCTCCCTTTCAACCTGCTGATTTCTCAGCTTAGGGCACTTTCTGAAGGTATTGAATATGAGTATGCACATAAAGTGGAATGCTTTCTCCGATAGGATAACTCCAGGTAAAACTTGTTATAATGTCGCGTAATGTCAGGAGATACCCCAGGGTTTTATCACTCTGTTTTTCATAATACTGGCCTCACAATTTAATACTTGCCATTTATGATTTACGAAAATCAAAGTGATGCGGCTTGTGGCATACACGCACATATGTTAAAACAGGTCAATTGTATGTGGTTGGGAAGGCGTGGAATGGAGGAATGCAGTTCTGTAAAGCTGCTCTTCTGTGCAGAAGAGCAGTGTAGAATCTACTTCTGTGCTTGCTTTTCCGCATACAGTCTTTTCTATTTACTTGTTTCCTTATTTGCAACACATACTGTTTTTTGGATCAACCCACATTTGAATTTGGCTAGTTTTCCTTGAGATGGTGCTGAATTGTTGATGACAATGATCACTTTCTTAGACAGCTCCTTTAACAGTTGCATTTTCAGTACCATCAAGTACTGCGCTCGGATTTGGATGAGGCAATGAAGCATCAGGACAACAAAGAACAATGTTTTTTTCTTGTTTGTTTTGTTTTTTTTTCTTTTTCTTTTCAAAGAGAGGCTGCAGATGTCCAGAACTTATTTACTTGTTTTTTTTTTTTTTTTATCTCCACATCCATTTGTTTAGGGAAGTAAACAAACAGCATCAAAATTTTTTATTAGAATGATATATAATGTAGGATTTAGAATTGAATAGGAAATATTTGCATATTTAGCATTGTTGTACATGGTAGTATTTTGCGACAATTACATAAATGGGTCATAAATGGAGAAGAGGAGATGAGTAGAAATTGAGGTGTAGAGGAACACAAGGGATTTGGTAAAAGATTTCATTACATTTCATTACAGACGTCTTACAGATGTGATGGCAAGTGCACAGACAGCTGCATTTCTTGGGAGCTGTGTAACATGTGACACGTGTAATGTGGAAGAGGAGGACAAAAGGGAAAATAGAGGGACACAGAGTAACTGAATAGATAGAAGTGGGAATGTAGTGAGAACAAAAGGAGGCATGAGTATCATTTTGAAGGGAAATAATCAGCATACTGAGAGAGGGGAAAACAATAGAAAATTATGTGATAGTGTAGGATTAATGGGTTCTGATTTCTGTAAGTGGTCTCAGAGATCTTCCTCATGTCATTGCTAGATGTGAATGCAATTTGTGGTGAGAAGGTTTACAGAATGACTGGGAAAGAACACGGACATGGATGGTCTTTTACCCTCCTTTTACCTTTGCTTACATTTAAAATGTTTATGGACTGATCATGCTCCAGGAATCATTCTCTTCTGCACCTATCCACTAACACAGTGAGAAGATCTTGAGGCACAGACAGTGAACCCATGTTATTAGATTGATGATTCGTGTCTTTAGTAACCCACATGTTAAAACATTCTTTTGCACAAAAAGCACTCTGACAAGTGTGCTTGTCAGAGACAAGCGCAGTCTGGCCACATTTGGGAGCTAGAATAGCACTTGGAGGAACAATAACTTTTTGTTGATTCTCTGACCTCCTGGTAAGGACTGCAAAGGCTGAAGGACAGAGCAGCACAGGAAAGAAGTGATTAAATGCAGTAGTGGATAACAGATGTGTTGGAAAATAGGGCTATTGTAATGGAATAGGTCTTGATTCAACAAGCTGTTGATGATACAAAACCATTTTCTGAATAGG